AGAGAGAGAGAGAGAGAGAGAGAGAGAGAGAGAGAGAGAGAGAGAGAGAGAGAGAGAGAGAGAGAGTTGATGAATTTAAACTCTCCCCTTGCCGACTGTGCACACCATCGTCCTGGACAAGCTGTGTTGTTTCACACATCAAATGAAAGCTGCATACTCGAGTCTCAAGACTCTCAACCCATGTTCCTTCCCCTTCCCAACAGACACCATTGTTTGAAGGTCTCCATTAAGGACCTTCACATATTTATTGCCAGTGGTATTTCATTAAGAGACTGTCTGATTGATCCTGACAGGATTTGAAACAGATATCTGTCTCAGCCTTTAACGTGCTCACCACAGTGCAATTGTTATTTTCCCACGACCTTGTGCATCGATATTTGCCCTTGTTATTATCTCGCACACAAACAAACACTCCCTCCCCGGCCCCCCCCCCGCGCACACACACACACACATGCAGAGTGGGTTCTTTGGCTGTGACAGACTAGTTTCTCAGACTTACTGCCATTCTTGTCAGCGGCTTCAAATGCTGGACTGACAATGTGCTAGGGTTCAACCTTCTGATGAAAAAAGGGCCAACCACTTTTCTCAGGGGTGTCGCAAAAAAAAAAACAAAAAAAACAGGGGTGTCGCCTAACTCTGGGCGATGTGGTGAGTTCTTATCCATCAGTCAAATGCATCCTGGGAAGACTGTGGAGATTCGACCTTCTGACGAGTCATTGAAGGTCTGACAGTCCTTTTTTGGCCGAGTTCGATATAGCGAATACAATAACACACAGACTCCCACGAACACCCGCACACACACACACACACACACACACACACACACACACACGCGCGCGCGCACACACACAACCACACACACACACACACACACACACACACAAATAGCGTGGCATGGTCCTTTTTTGTTGGAGTTCAATCTAGCAAATACGATAACGCCCACAGCACAGATTCCCACAAACAACTCCGCACACACACACACACACACACACACACACACACACACACACACACACGCACACACACACACGCACACACAAACAGCGTGGCACGGTCCTCTTTTGGTGGAGTTCATTCTAGCGAATACAATAACACACACACACACACTCCCACAAACACCCACACACAGACTCCCACAAACACCAGCACACAGACTCCCACAAACACCCGCACACACACACACACACACACACACACACACACACACACACACACACACACACAAACACACATACACAGCTTTCTTGATGGTTCACAAAAATTGGGTCGAGAAGCCCGAGCTGAGAGAGCGACAGGTGGAGAGAAGTGGTGCAAAACAACGGCGAAAGTGGTGGCACTCAAAATTACAAGTCGCGGTCATCCCCTGACAAGAGAGCACTGCACCCGCCACTCAGATTTTATCACCGTGTTTGCATCCTTTGCAACGTCTCACTCTTTGATGTTGACATCCAGCCGTCTGAACTTATGTCTGAGAGAAGCGCCTTGGTTGAAGGAACTCACCTGCACCAACTGCCAATATGGCAGCCTGAGGCGGGTTGACTATCGCAGCAAATTGCTTGATGCCGAACATTCCAAGGTTGGAAATTGTGAACGTGCCACCCTGGGAACCACAAGCAGCCACCGAGCGACGGGGTTTTTGAGAGGCCAATCAAGGCAGACACACACAAAAACAAAAAGTAGCAAAAAAAAGAGGAGAAGTGAAAGGCAGAACTTCAGGACATCCATTAAATTTGGAATATTGGAACGATACAGAGAAAGAAGATGAGCACGGGCCCTGCACAAGGATGACACGAATAAATCGAGAAATGGTCGTTAAGAAAGAGAGAGAGAGAGAGAGAGAGAGAGAGAGAGAGAGAGAGAGAGAGAGAGAGAGAGAGAGAG